AAGGACAACGAGGAAAAAACATACTGTAATTGTTGTTCTTCCCTAGCCTTGTACGAGGAGACTGAGCCTTGTACGCCTTGCTATGCGTGCGAGAAGGAGAGCTTGCTACGAACGGGAGAGCAAGAGAGAAGGGAACAATCGCTGTATACCCACTGGTCGTTTTGAATCCGCCGAGCGTCGGCCGTAACCGATCGGTGGCGATATCAGCGAGTTAGTTCCTTTGAAACCTTCGATCAGAACAGGTCATTGTAATCGATCTTGTCGAGGAATTGGAGAAAAGAGACCGTCTCTCATCTTGTGTTCGCTTATATTGTATTCTTTACTTTGTATTAGCTTTTCTTTGTATCAGCTGATCTGTACATTCTACAACTACAAAGTAGACTCATTAATTCACAACCGAACGCTGTGGTTTTTGTTTGTGAAACCAATAAAATATTGCTGAACGGCTATATCACGTATCACTTTCTCGTAATTATCCTAAATGTGCCTGAGTCCGGAAAACGTTAGATTTGAGATTTGATTAAAATCGCCGCGACATCGAAGCTGCACCTTCGACTCTTTTACAGTCGCTTGCACTCGAACTCGGTCTAACAAATTTCATTCAGTATGATTTTACGATGAATTACATTACTATTTGTGTTTGTAAAAATCAGTAGAAAAAAACCAGAAAGTCTAAAAGAATGATTTGCTAGGTATCATGTAGATTATAATTTATAATCATTAATTTATTCATTATTCTTCATTGTTTCTAATCACTCCTTCACTTCATTCGATATAACTCGAATTTTTGTTTTGATGTCGTTATTATAAAATATACAGAGTATGTGTCGCGCGTAAAGAACTGTTAGGTTTCTCCACCAATCAGAAATGATCACGACAAATCACAAATCACTGTGGAAAATCACCGTGATTGGGAAGGAACGTGACCGAATCACGAGTGATTCACAAGTAGCAGTTCACGCCATCTCTAGTTCTCACGTTTGGAGGATTATAATAATCTAAACATTTAAAGGATTGGCGGGAAACCGAGATGCCGGTAGAGGGAAACTGGGTAGCTGGGAGGCCGGTGATAATGGGAGACCTGGGAGGCTGATATGGTAGGTTTGGTTAGATATTGAAACCGCGCTGATGGCAGCGGCCCTCGCCGTGTCCTGGCTGGAGGCTCCGGCCGGACCGGTCGCGGACGTCGACAGGGAGGCTGAATGGTTCCAGGAAGCAATGGCGTTTGCATGTGACGCAGCCATGCCCCGGGTCAGGAAGCCCGCTAGACGGGCCTCGTACTGGTGCAGCGACGAGATCGCTGCGCTGCGTGACGTGTGTCACACGGCGTGGCGCCACTTCACCAGGGCCCGCCGGCGACGGAACCGCGACTTGGCGAGGGAGCACGAGCTCTACGGGGTCTATGGGCGAGCGACGGTGGACCTCCAGAGCGCCATCGGGGAGGACAAATCCCGTGCCTGGGGTGAGCTCCTCGAGACGTTGGACCGTGACCCGTGGGGGCGCCCATATCGCATCGTCCTGGGACGCATGCGGCCGGCGGGGCCCCCGGTCACGGAGTCTCTCGACCCCCATGCTCTCGAGCGTGTTGTTGAGACCCTCTTTCCGGACGATCCGGATGAGGGCTCGCGGACGCTCGAGCCGGCTGACCCGACCAACTGGTCCGCCGAGCTGGGGGTCACGCAGGAGGAGCTCGCGGCGGCCGTCAAGCGCCTCGGGGCCAATAAGGCTCCGGGGCCTGACGGCATCCCCGTGCGGGCGCTGGGTTTCGCCTCACGCGTCCTCGGGCCCCGACTCGTGCGGCTGTTTCACAGCTGCATGATGTCGGGGCGGGTCCCGCTGCCCTGGAAGCGGGGCCGGATGGTCCTCGTCCCGAAGAAAGGAAAGCCCGCGGACTCTCCTTCCGCGTACCGGCCGATATGCCTCCTCGACGAGGCGGGCAAGCTCTTCGAGCGCGTGCTCGCTGCCCGCCTGTCGAGGGGCATGTCCGACGGTGGTCCCGGTTTGGCGGACTGCCAATACGGTTTCCGCGGGGGACGGTCTACGCTAGACGCGATAGACCACGTGCGTTCCCTCGCGGGCCGGGCAGTTTCCCGCGGTGGTGTGGCGTTGACGATCAGTTTAGATATCGCCAACGCCTTTAACACCATCCGCTGGGACACAATACGGGAGGCGCTCCGAGAACACGGGGTGCCTCCGTATCGCCGGATCGTGCTGCGGGACTACCTGTCGGACAGCGTGATCGAGTACCCCGGCCGGGGTAGCGCAATCGTTCGGCGAAGGGTCAACCGAGGCGTGCCCCAGGGGTCCGTTCTTGGACCCCTACTGTGAAACGTGGGGTACGACTCGGTGTTGCGCGGGCTCCTCCCGCCCGGTGTGGGTGTCGTCTGCTATGCGGACGACACGCTGATCATCGCGGTCGGGAGAGAGTGGACGAGGACCATCCGCATTGCGGAGGTGGCGGTGGCACTCATCGTCGCCAGGATCCGGGATCTGGGGTTGCAGATCTTGCCGCCAAAGACGGAGGTAGTCATGTTTCATGGACTGCCTCTGTCGCGGCGGATCCCCCAGGCCTGGGTCCAAGTAGGAGACGCCTGTGTCCGGGTCGAAGGACGTATGAAGTACCTCGGCCTCGACCTGGACAGCCGCTGGCGCTTCGAAGGACACTTCGACCGTCTGGTCGCCCGGATTGAGGGCGTGGCGACCCTATTGTGTCGTCTGATGCCCAATCTCGGGGGGCCGGAGGAGAGGGTCCGCCGCCTCTACATGGGGGTGGTGCGAGCGATGGCCCTATACGGGTCACCCATGTGGGCCCGCGACCTGATGGCCTGCCGGCGGGGCCAGCAGCTACTGCGGCGCATTCAGCGCCGCATGGCCATCAGGATCGCGAGGGGGTACCACACCATCTCCCACGAGGCGGCGGCTGTCCTGGCGGGGGTCGTGCCCTTTGATTTTCAGGCGGAGGCTGACGCCGATCTGTATCGGTGTCTGCAGGGCCTCCGCCGGAACGGGGTCGACCCGCCGGACGACGCGGTCGAGGTGATGAAGCGCCAGGGCCGGCGGCGAGCTCGCGAAATGTGGCGGCGCCAGCTGTATGACAGCGGCACCGCCCGGCAGCGAGCCGTGGGCGCGGTCCTGCCCGGCAGCGAGCCGTGGGCGCGGTCCTGCCCGTCCTTGGTGGATGGCTGGACCGTCGGCACGGCAGGCTATCCTACCGGCTCACGCAGGTGCTCACCGGGCACGGATGCTTCGGGGGGTACCTGCAGAGGGTTGGAGCCGAGGCGACGGCAGAGTGCTACCAGTGCAGCGCGGAGGTTGACTCCGCGCAGCACGTGTTGGATGGGTGCCCGGCCTTTGCCAGGGAGAGGCGGGCGCTCCGTTTAGAGACAGGGGGAGACCTCTCGCTCCCGGCCGTGGTTGCGGCCATGGTGGGGAGCGAGAGGTCGTGGAGGGCGGTGTCCTCCTTCTGGGAGACCGTCATCTCGCGGAAGGAGGACG